TATCGGACTGCGGTTGTGCTGAGTTGAGCTTTTCTTATTTAGAGATGACACAGAGCGAAATTTCTACATGTTCACCATGCAATGTTAATTATCCTGCTATTTGTTAGCTGCCTCCGTAATAATCCGAGATTCCTCTGACTCTAACCCCCGCTTTTATATTGTGACTCCCCCGCACAAGTCACAATATAAAAGCGGGGGTTAGAGTCAGAGGAATCTCGGATTACCTCCGTAAGGACACATCTATACTGACTAAAATTGTGTCTTTGAGACTGTCCAATTTTCATAGCTTTGGTCCATCCTTCAACATATTTACATTAAATGCAGGATATATAAATGTATACATAGACTCGGCCTGATAATTCCTCAAATAATTTCTGCCAGGCATGCATGAAATTATATGCACATACAGTATCAGTTCGTTCGATCAAGACCGACCAAATCAGGTATCATGTTACGATATCTAAATAAAGCATGTCTGCATAGGGAGGCGACATTTTCAAGTTAAAACAATAAAGATAAATTTTACAATGAAAGATCAGCTAATCAGACAACGTGAGTTACCTTGCTAATGTTGAAGAGAAGCCTGTCACTTCCATTGTAAATCATTTGTACTCCATGTGGGTTTGTTTACAATAATTTCACGCTGAATCGTCTCATTTTAGATTAATACGCGGAAGTAGTACATAAGTATAAATAAACAATTGATAAAAGGAACTACATACCTCTTTTTAGGGGGTTCAGGTATAAATTTTCGATGAGATATATTCAAATAAATATATTCTAGCATAAACATGGAAACATTCAGAAATATAAAAAACTTTACTTGGTGAAAAAATTCCAAGCAGAACAGAAGTTATGAAATTATCAATGTTCTGAATACTGCTATTTTCTGTAAGGAAATTTAACTATTAAAGGGTACCTATTGATGGCACATAAACGGAAGAAAAATCTGTTAAATCTAGATAGTTTTTCAAGTAACTAGTCTAATTTTATTTGGAAGTATGGCAAACTATATATTTTCGGAAAGGTCTATTTAAGCCCTAATTTTTTCAAAGTAAATATTTTTATCAAAACTTATCAATATTTACTTAAATATGCAAACAGTAATTGGCATGTTTTCATCTACACCTAGCTGTAAAACACCCGTTATCGCTCTACATGTAGCTGTGAATATACAGTAATTACTGACCAATTAGCAGGCACATAGTCGTTCTCAACTATTGTGGTCCTTAATTTTTGCATGAGTGACTTCAACGATTGTTTTAAGTATACATCATAATGATTGAAGTATTTGCAGTACATAGCAGTGAAATATGACATGCACAGAAATGTCACTACCCACTTCAACAGTAAAGAAATAACTAAAGATTCAAAACTGATGAAAGTCAATTTGCTAATTAAGTTTAGTGTATAAACTGGAAACAACCAATACATGAATTATTATAAGACTCTGAGCATGCAATCCCTTCAACATCCATTTCTTATTTTTGAAGTTTCGCTAGTTCAATAAACAAACCTGCACAACAGTTTGTCCTCCTTTTGCGTTGATCAAATAGATCCAAAACAACCTTTTATAATTTTGGGTGTATTAATTGTGCATAATTTTTTTGCTTTTTATTTGATAAATAACTTAAGTACTAAAAACTAATTTCCAATCGAATTATTGTTTATTTGTACTTTTTTGTGGGTTAATAGAGATTAACTAGGCTCAAGAACAAACTTTTATCTACATTTTACCGTTAGTAACCGAGTATTCAATCGGGAAAAAGTCCGAATAAGCGATTATTAATTATCAAATGATTTGACCGATTTGACTTCCCTAATATTTTCCAGTATTTCTCTCTCTCTATCTCTCTCAAAAGCCTACTATTGTTCGTAATCATGCATTTGCAAGAAAACAGATTAAATGTATATAAGATATACAAGATATGGACTGATAAAAGTTACTTCAAATGGTGTATTTGAAAAATTGAAAAGAAAATAAATCAATTTAACAAAAATACAAAATATCAAATTATACTTTCAAAAAATATTCGGTTCATTTTTGTCATATTCGGTTCATTCGTTATGCTATCAAACATATATGTATCATAACTTATGACACTTATCCCACTTGAAATATATTAAATTGATTTAAATATACATGTACTCACCTTCTGACAGAATCATGAGAATAGTCACAGTATCGGACTGCGGTTGTGCTGAGTTGAGCTTTTCTTATTTAGAGATGACACAGAGCGAAATTTCTACATGTTCACCATGCAATGTTAATTATCCTGCTATTTGTTAGCTGCCTCCGTAATAATCCGAGATTCCTCTGACTCTAACCCCCGCTTTTATATTGTGACTCCCCCGCACAAGTCACAATATAAAAGCGGGGGTTAGAGTCAGAGGAATCTCGGATTACCTCCGTAAGGACACATCTATACTGACTAAAATTGTGTCTTTGAGACTGTCCAATTTTCATAGCTTTGGTCCATCCTTCAACATATTTACATTAAATGCAGGATATATAAATGTATACATAGACTCGGCCTGATAATTCCTCAAATAATTTCTGCCAGGCATGCATGAAATTATATGCACATACAGTATCAGTTCGTTCGATCAAGACCGACCAAATCAGGTATCATGTTACGATATCTAAATAAAGCATGTCTGCATAGGGAGGCGACATTTTCAAGTTAAAACAATAAAGATAAATTTTACAATGAAAGATCAGCTAATCAGACAACGTGAGTTACCTTGCTAATGTTGAAGAGAAGCCTGTCACTTCCATTGTAAATCATTTGTACTCCATGTGGGTTTGTTTACAATAATTTCACGCTGAATCGTCTCATTTTAGATTAATACGCGGAAGTAGTACATAAGTATAAATAAACAATTGATAAAAGGAACTACATACCTCTTTTTAGGGGGTTCAGGTATAAATTTTCGATGAGATATATTCAAATAAATATATTCTAGCATAAACATGGAAACATTCAGAAATATAAAAAACTTTACTTGGTGAAAAAATTCCAAGCAGAACAGAAGTTATGAAATTATCAATGTTCTGAATACTGCTATTTTCTGTAAGGAAATTTAACTATTAAAGGGTACCTATTGATGGCACATAAAAGGAAGAAAAATCCGTTAAATCTAGGTAGTTTTTCAAGTAACTAGTCTAATTTTATTTGGAAGTATGGCAAACTATATATTTTCGGAAAGGTCTATTTAAGCCCTAATTTTTTCAAAGTAAATATTTTTATCAAAACTTATCAATATTTACTTAAATATGCAAACAGTAATTGGCATGTTTTCATCTACACCTAGCTGTAAAACACCCGTTAACGCTCTACATGTAGCTGTGAATATACAGTAATTACTGACCAATTAGCAGGCACATAGTCGTTCTCAACTATTGTGGTCCTTAATTTTTGCATGAGTGACTTCAACGATTGTTTTAAGTATACATCATAATGATTGAAGTATTTGCAGTACATAGCAGTGAAATATGACATGCACAGAAATGTCACTACCCACTTCAACAGTAAAGAAATAACTAAAGATTCAAAACTGATGAAAGTCAATTTGCTAATTAAGTTTAGTGTATAAACTGGAAACAACCAATACATGAATTATTATAAGACTCTGAGCATGCAATCCCTTCAACATCCATTTCTTATTTTTGAAGTTTCGCTAGTTCAATAAACAAACCTGCACAACAGTTTGTCCTCCTTTTGCGTTGATCAAATAGATCCAAAACAACCTTTTATAATTTTGGGTGTATTAATTGTGCATAATTTTTTTGCTTTTTATTTGATAAATAACTTAAGTACTAAAAACTAATTTCCAATCGAATTATTGTTTATTTGTACATTTTTGTGGTTTAATAGAGATTAACTAGGCTCAAGAACAAACTTTTATCTACATTTTATCGTTAGTAACCGAGTATTCAATCGGGGAAAAGTCCGAATAAGCGATTATTAATTATCAAATGATTTGACCGATTTGACTTCCCTAATATTTTCCAGTATTTCTCTCTCTCTATCTCTCTCAAAAGCCTACTATTGTTCGTAATCATGCATTTGCAAGAAAACAGATTAAATGTATATAAGATATACAAGATATGGACTGATAAAAGTTACTTCAAATGGTGTATTTGAAAAATTGAAAAGAAAATAAATCAATTTAACAAAAATACAAAATATCAAATTATACTTTCAAAAAATATTCGGTTCATTTTTGTCATATTCGGTTCATTCGTTATGCTATCAAACATATATGTATCATAACTTATGACACTTATCCCACTTGAAATATATTAAATTGATTTAAATATACATGTACTCACCTTCTGACAGAATCATGAGAATAGTCACAGTATCGGACTGCGGTTGTGCTGAGTTGAGCTTTTCTTATTTAGAGATGACACAGAGCGAAATTTCTACATGTTCACCATGCAATGTTAATTATCCTGCTATTTGTTAGCTGCCTCCGTAATAATCCGAGATTCCTCTGACTCTAACCCCCGCTTTTATATTGTGACTCCCCCGCACAAGTCACAATATAAAAGCGGGGGTTAGAGTCAGAGGAATCTCGGATTACCTCCGTAAGGACACATCTATACTGACTAAAATTGTGTCTTTGAGACTGTCCAATTTTCATAGCTTTGGTCCATCCTTCAACATATTTACATTAAATGCAGGATATATAAATGTATACATAGACTCGGCCTGATAATTCCTCAAATAATTTCTGCCAGGCATGCATGAAATTATATGCACATACAGTATCAGTTCGTTCGATCAAGACCGACCAAATCAGGTATCATGTTACGATATCTAAATAAAGCATGTCTGCATAGGGAGGCGACATTTTCAAGTTAAAACAATAAAGATAAATTTTACAATGAAAGATCAGCTAATCAGACAACGTGAGTTACCTTGCTAATGTTGAAGAGAAGCCTGTCACTTCCATTGTAAATCATTTGTACTCCATGTGGGTTTGTTTACAATAATTTCACGCTGAATCGTCTCATTTTAGATTAATACGCGGAAGTAGTACATAAGTATAAATAAACAATTGATAAAAGGAACTACATACCTCTTTTTAGGGGGTGTTGCTAAAACGCGGAACGGAAAACGGAACGGAAAACGGAACGGAACGGAAAGCGGAATATATTATTTTGGATTAAATCACTAAAAATATACAAATTTTATCATAAATGATATATCTTGTACATATTCAATTCCCCACTATTAAATACAAGTTGACATTGCCATACTCAGTCTTTTATTTACGAAAATCGCAAACATATCAGTCACCTAGAATCGAATTTGAAAAGGGGAGGGGGGTGGTAAACGAACTCTAAAAGTATCTGACAAGCAAAAACACAAAAAGAAGATTATTGTTTGATTCGCGAGGGGGATAAAACACAAAAAAATTGTTTGATTCGGGAGGGGGGATAAGTTTCAACTCCAGCATCTTTCAGACTACATTAACTATTACATTAATTACATTCACAAAAAGCGTAACGATGTCAACTTGAACGAACATTTCCGTAGTAAAAAGGTTATGACTGGGGGGGGGGGGCAAACATTTGATATCTAGATGAACCATGGACAGAGAAATAAAATGTTAAAAATAATTATTATAGGGCAAACCTTTACAGCAAGCTCGAATAAACATCTCTTATACACACTGTTGTTAAAATTTTATTCAAAACAGAGTTGCTTTCAATATATTTAAATTCTGGAGACACAAAGTTGGAAAACTTTCCTGTGGTAGGTATATAATGCAGAGTCTTTGCATTCAATGAAGTTAAATTTTGTTTGTTTGCGGTACATATGTGTATAGGGGGGTGCGTATGAATAACCCCGTGAAAATGAGCTTGTTTTCCCGCTCTAAGAAGGTCTAAGAAGTTGTAATAGATCTTCCCGTCTTTTAGTGTAAGGTTTAATAAATCAATTTTTAATGTGGCTGTGGGCCCCTACACAGACCCGAAACTGCCACTCCCCCTTTCACGAATCGCGAATTCGTCACTGCGTGCAAAATCTGAATATCATAACTTTAGTTATTTTTGTCTTTATAGACATTGACATTGGAAACAAATAGAAAGATGAAGGAGGGGGTCAGTAAATAATTTCCAATATACAACAAATTTGACAAGCGAAAAAAGGGGGATATGCCTTTGCCCAAATACGATGATCCTAATTCGTGTTGGAGGGGGGGGGGGGCGAATTTCTTTCAGTACCTTTTTTTCCACGGAGGGTGTGTATAACTCATGAATATGTAAAAGTCTACAATAAATTTTTATTAGAAATGACTTTTACAACAAGAATATTGCTCTTTTATCTTATTTACATCGAATCTATATGTTATTTGTTTGACAAAAAAATTCCGTTTTCCGTTCCGTTCCGCTTTCCGTTCCGTTTTCCGTTCCGCGTTTTAGCAACACCCCTTTTTAGGGGGTTCAGGTATAAATTTTCGATGAGATATATTCAAATAAATATATTCTAGCATAAACATGGAAACATTCAGAAATATAAAAAACTTTACTTGGTGAAAAAATTCCAAGCAGAACAGAAGTTATGAAATTATCAATGTTCTGAATACTGCTATTTTCTGTAAGGAAATTTAACTATTAAAGGGTACCTATTGATGGCACATAAAAGGAAGAAAAATCCGTTAAATCTAGGTAGTTTTTCAAGTAACTAGTCTAATTTTATTTGGAAGTATGGCAAACTATATATTTTCGGAAAGGTCTATTCAAGCCCTAATTTTCTGTTTCCATGCCAGGTAAAAAATATCCAAGATGGCAGCAAAATATCCAATATGGCCACCAATATTGAAAATGGCCGATACAGTCTTTCTGATAAAATGCTTTCAAAATCTAAGTTAGGAAAAAAATAATGATATTTTATAAATTCTTTACAATTTATTACTTTAAAAAATGTATAAAAATAGTGATCTTAATCAAATATCCTCATTAAAAGTCAGAGTTCTGTGTCTGGACATCACAAAGAAGAAAGCTGTCAATATTAATATGAAAATGGCAAAGATCGGGAAAAAAGAATTCACTATACAGTTAATTCACAACTTTATTTAAAATTTGAATAGATCGATATTTAAAAAACATGATATAAAATTTTCGGTATCAATCAATAATTGTATATATTCAGTCTAAGTTATACATGCTTCCTGGACAAGTTGAATGACATCTGCTACTACCGGCGGGTACCATAAACATGATATGGAATGATTCTCGCATTTTCCCGAAGTCTGACTGTTTATACTCACTGAAAAAAAATAACCACAAAGTATCATGTTAATAACAAAAATATTTTTATAGGACCTAGTTAGAAGAACTTCGGGTTATTCAGTTATTATACAGTACATTATATGTATTTCAGAATCTAGAGGAAATCCTGGCAACAGAATTAAATTTTTACATTTATATCAGGGACCGTTTATAAGTCCCTATTTACCCTGTTTATGTGTAGTACATTGTAGGAAATGATATTTTTCATTATTTTTTCCCAATAAGTCGATCCTAATATTATTTAATGTCGGATTTCTAATTTCTTTTGTGGTTTTACGAAACAAAAGTGTGCGCATGAATTTAAAGGTACGTAGAAACTGTTCAAAAGTTGCGTCGGGGTGACGACTTTTGATTGGAAACCCGGGTGAATTATTTTCCGAAATTATTACAGAACCATAATATTCAGATAGGAAATTTTCTCAGCTTTCTCATAGTGTATGTTGCATTAAAATATTTCGATTACTTGCCGTAGTAAAATTGACTTCTTTCCTTTGAAACGGAAATGCATAAACTTCTGCACATTGCATTGAGATGCAACATTAACAATGTTGATCTTCAAAATGTAAGCTTTCCTGTGATAGGTCAATGTCGTTAATTCCTTAAAAATCGCCTCCCGGAAAGCCAATCAAAATGACGCTATCAACGCCGCGGAGACAAAACTACGGTGCCATGCATCAAAGGGGAAACCCCGTATTCAATTTTAGCACAACTTCGACCGCGTTAATTTTTAATGCAAACTCTTCAGAATGACAAAACACACATATCATACGAAAGTTCAAACAATGTAGAAAAAATTCATTATATTTAATTTCTAGATAAATATGAATAATAATGCAAAAATTACGTTTATAAACATTGATAAACTGTGTTTAAATGGCACGATTACATAGGTAAGTCGGGTTACCTGAACCCTCTACTCTTTTCTTCTATTTTCCAATGGATTAAAAGATTAGTTCATCAGTAGCTGTATACATGTACCTGTCATTAATTCTTAAATATAATTATACCTACTTGAACTATTTTGTCCCTCGTGATATTTCTAAACATCGCTTCAGGACCCCGTGATGTTGAACCCCATTTGTTTTTGTTTTAAACATACAGAGCTGTCGTTCGTTCTTCTCTCAAACGTAAAACGTATCAGGAGTACTAAAGTAACTATTAGTTTTATTATTAGGCTATTATTTTATTGAACTTTTTTTACATTAATCAAAATAAATTGTTAAAATAAATTCAGCCATAACACACACTTTTGATATGATAATAACGATAAAGATTGGGAAGGGTGTCGAATATGAGTAGCGGTTGTATGCCCTTAGTTTAAGATACATCCGTTTGGAGTACCATGTCAGAGGGCAAAATTGACCTTTGACATCTTGAGAGGTAAAAAGGTCATCAAAGCAAATGCAATAGGCGGCTTCCGCCTAAAAAGGAGGGTTACAGACTGATAAAAAGCTTAGGACAGTGTTCTGTAGTTAGATCAGAAGTTTCGGACTTTTCAAAATAAAATAAAAAAATTGCTGCATTACACATACTACTTGATTTGCGATAATTATGAGATTAAACGGCCATTGAATTTCGACGTTAAAAAAAATCGTCAATAAAGATAACTGTGTTTAGTTTAGATAAATTATTTGTACCGTACAGATGTGTTTTATCTTACTCGTTACAGGAACATGATCCTATTTATAAATCTTAACCTGATATTTAATTAAGGAATTACTAAGCCTTGTGTATAATTTAATATTTGATATATTTGATTTAAATTATTTGCATGTGTAACATATGTGCATGTAATATTGAAAACACAAAACGAACTTTTAGGCATAACCTAAACCTTACGTCACACAATAAAGAGTTGAAATACTCTAAGATATACTGACAAGAGGCTTACCATTTTAGACACAATTTTAAAACCACACTACTTCGACACCACTCTTTTTTTGGTTTACCCTCCAAAACAGGCACCATTTATTTTATTATACTGAATGTCTTCTTGATTTACTATGTCAGCAATACAAATTGTCAATCGCCTTTTCGTTCACGTTTAGAAAGCTTTCAAACTCCCCGCTACTTCGAAAAAGATTTACAGGCCTCTTTATTGTTTATTTGATACTCCACGAGTTCTTTATCATCTAGAGTTTCGTTATTTCGTCTGCACTGAACAAGATGGGAAGTTGAAAAGACCAAGCATTATTGACCCTAGAACCGTAACGATAGAACCGCATAATTCCGGAAAACGGTTTGCACTTTGTAGCTATTTATAATCTCAAAAAACAAAGCCATAAACGGCCTTCTCAATAACTGTATTTATCTTTTAGGGATAAATCTGATTAGATAAAACCAAAAAAAGAGTGGTGTCGAAGTAGTGTGGTTTTAAAAATGTTTACAGACAGGCTATACTTGAACTAACAGACACTACAGGTATTGGGTACATTCTCAACCGCTTTTCCAATAAAAAAATCCGGAACTGAAATGAAATTGTGAAAATGGCAGGCGGGTGACCGGCTGGCACAAGGATACATCTACCGTAATATATAGAGCAAGCACGCCACAACATCATTTGTGCCTATCTATCCCCCTACAATTTTCAACATAGAAAGTTTTATCAACCGGAGACAGTTTTTAAATTTTTATTACGAATGCTTATATTAGGGTGCTCATTTTTCAGTATTAATCCTCCCACAGTTTTATAGGAAGTAATTACATATATTTTGCGGATTAATTGAACATAATTAATTAGAAATGTGCATGATACATGGAATTTCCTTTTTGATCATCTAATTATAGGAAAGTATTAATTCCTGAATTTAGTCATTTTTAAACTTTATGTTTATTAATACTAGTATTGTCGAAATGTTACCTCCAACAATTTTCAGAATAAAACGTATTCAGACATACTTTTCATACACAAAAAAAAAACAAACAACAACAACAGTTTGTTGTTTCTTATTTATAACAAAAACAATACGACTGCTATAGCCTCTGTAGTTTTCAAAGTCAGAATATGTAATGTAACTTGGCTTCTTTGCAAAGCATATATATATGTTCTCCAGATTTATATTAAGGTAGTCCGATCCTCAAGTTTATTAAATTAGCAGTTAATAAGAAATACTACAAAAGTTGGAAGGAGATCTGGGTTAGATCCCACCGTACCTCCTCTTTAGAAACTTCCAAATAGAATATGGCATCGAACTCTGTTTCTAACCACCCCTACGGTTTTGAAATCTCCGACCCTTTTATTGCTAAGGAGGGCCTACATATACGGTCTGGTATAAAAAGCAGAGCATTTCTTCCTTCAGATTCATCTGTTCAATATGAAGCCCACCACAGCAGCTGTTGTTTTCTTGTATGTTATAATTTGTGTAAGCGGACTTTCTACAACTGATAAGACAAAACAGAATGATGACATAGCCGACATTAAAAACAGATTAGGACATCTTGAACAGATGATTGGACAACTGGTCACCGGAAATTCATCTTCGGATGTTCTAAAATTTAGTGGTAAGATATTAATGAAATATTTTCGTACTTCTTTTCCGAGACATACAATTTTACTTATATTTTGTATGCTAAGTTTGCACAAAGTTACACTAAGATCTGAAGATAAGAGTACACTTTTTCTCAGTGTCAACAACTTTCAGTACCAATTCTAATACTACATTTCAGGTACATCACTAAAAGTGGGGGGCCAACCAGGCTTTCTATTAACATTTCCTATATTATTAGTAAGGTTGGGAGAAAAAGTGGGGGGAGGGCAGGCCCCCCACCCCCACCCCCCCTGTTGCTACGCCCCTGTTGTTGCCCAAGTATATTTACTAAGGACTGGTATACTTGATTGTACGAACCATGCAGAAAAGTCTGTGTGACTTTCAGAATAAAAACAATTGTTTTAATTAATGAAAGATTTATAATTAGATTCCTGTAAACTTTGTAAACTCATGGCCCTTGAGTTTTCTAATTTATTATTATAGAGTGTCCACGAGCAGAAACGAGCACGTTTCCTTTTCTGCCTACAAGAACCATATCCAGTCTTTACTCAATAAGAGACACATCATCAAGTTTGAGCAGACGATACTGAACCTTGGAAATCACTACCACCCCGAGGACGGGATATTTATCGCCCCGGTGTCAGGTGTATACCTCTTCCACTGGACCATGATTAACCATGGGGATCATGCACATACAAATATTTTGGTTGGAGGAAAGGTTATGTCTACAACTACCACCTCGGTAGTATCAAATTATAATTCCGGATCAGCTTTGGTGATTGTTCACGTACAGAAGGGACAGCATGTTTGGATACAGACTTGTTGTGGTACTGGACATGAAGTGTTTGGAAACACACTAGGGTTGGATAGCTATTTCCAATCTACTTTTTCTGGGACATTACTCTTTCCTGTTTCTTAAAAGTAAAGATACGCATGTGACACAATTTCACCTGCTGGACAGAAACTGAAAACCTATTAAAATACAAGTATTACAACGGAGTGATAGAAGTAATCATTACACATTTTCATTTCTCTTTTCTCTTTGATAACTCTGAAAGTTTGTGGATTTGATTTCTTGATCATTCTTCCGGAATGTAAATTTCACCAATCGATACAGTAGGAGCTTAGGAGGTCTAACACGCTTGTAAATCTTTGTGTATTTGACGTCAGTTGGCGGTGACTAGGGAGGCCTCGTGTAATTTTAAATTTCATAAATCAGGCGAAATATAAATGTTGAACGTTGTTCGTAATCTCAGTTTTCATTTTTGAAAAACTCAATCATAGTTAGAAATATACGAAAGACGAATAGGGCCACATAAAAAAATATTTTTATCTCGTAATTACGAGAAAAGATCTCGTTATTACGAGTTAATTATCTCGTTATTACGAGAAAAGATCTCGTAATAACGAGAAAAGATCTCGTTATAACGAGTTAATTATCTCGTTATAACGAGAAAAGATCTCGTTATTACGAGTTAATTATCTCGTTATAACGAGAAAAGATCTCGTTATTACGAGTTAATTATCTCGTTATTACGAGAAAAGATCTCGTTATTACGAGTTAATTATCTCGTTATTACGAGTTAATTATCTCGTAATAACGAGAAAAGATCTCGTTATTACGAGTTAATTATATCGTTATAACGAGAAAAGATCTCGTTATTACGAGTTAATTATCTCGTAATTGCGAGAAAAGATCTCGTTATTACGAGAAAAGATCTATAAAAAATGGTGCGTTTCATTGTTCTACTCTCTCTTAATGTAAAATGGATGAACCTACGGAATTCATAAAATTAGTAAAAGAAATATCAGAAGAAGGAGCAAAAAACAGATGGAAAAAGAAAACGTTTCATTTTTTCTCTTTAATATTTAATATTCTCTTTGATATGCCTGTACAGCTTAATAAACATTGCAGGATCTCATTGTTACTTAATCCCAGATCGAAGCACAATTTAATAACTTCGTCCTCTTCACACACGAGAAAATTAACTCGTAATAACGAGATCTTTTCTCGTTATTACGAGATCTTTTCTCGTAATAACGAGATGATTAACTCGTAATAACGAGATCTTTTCTCGTAATTACGAGATAATTAACTCGTTATAACGAGATCTTTTCTCGTTATTACGAGATCTTTTCTCGTAATAACGAGATAATTAACTCGTTATAACGAGATCTTTTCTCGTTATTACGAGATAATCAACTCGTAATAACGAGATCTTTTCTCGTTATTACGAGATCTTTTCTCGTAATAACGAGATCATTCACTCGTAATAACGAGATCTTTTCTCGTAATAACGAGATAATTATCTCGTAATTACGAGAAAATATCTCGTAATTACGAGATAAAAATATTTTTTTATGTGGCCCTATTCGTCTTTCGTAGAAATACATATACCAGGGTTATGTTTAATGAGGCAAGTGTTGTCGAGAATAATTGATGAATTTCATGCAGATAGTAAATGCTGCCTAAACATATGAAATGGAAATGCTGTTCAAAACAGTATCAGAATTGGTACAACAAATGTTCATTATCACATTGTATGATTTCTGCTTCTGAAGACTAAATGGGATAATGGTTTACAATACAGCTGTTTTAACACTTTTATGAGTGTCTGGTATGGCGTTTTGTGCAAAATAATACAGAAACTGTGGGACTTGTGGAAAATATTTGTCAACTAAACAAAAAAGCAACATCTCATGCATAAATAAGATAGAGTCACTTCTCATGTCTAAAAATAGCCGGTGTCGCATAATATACGTTCCGGGTAACTTGGCGTTCCGGCCGGAACGCTAAATACCTATAATATTGGTTCCGGGCCATAATAAACGTTCCGGCCCGCGTAAGATTGATTCCGGCCGTAAAAAACGTTCCGGGCAACCAAGCACCCTATTAAACTCTCTATTTATATTTAATATTGGCTGTTAATTTTAATTTTCTTCTTTCTTTTATACTTTCGTATATGATACAGCAGGATTTAATCGTAAGACATACATATGTGTTTACATTTCAAGTCAGAATATGCGGTCTTTTTACCACAGACATTATATATTTATTGATGTCTCTGAATTAAATATTATATTAATCCATGAAATTCGAGTTGATTATTTTGATTCTTTGTAAACAAAAGGTGTGAAACTTGTTTACATTGATATACCCCCATCGTGCTGTTTTACGATAGACTTGGCTTCTATCGATACGAATAATTGCTCAGTCTTGCGAATCGCCGTAAGCACACATGACCACCCTGATCAGATGATAATGGTGAGAGATTAATTATATTTACCATAAAATACTTTAATTATTAGGTATAATATTTTGATTTCCTTACAATTTTTTAAACACCCATACATGTAGTTGCGTTTTTTTTAAACCAAATATAAAATAAATTAAAATACAAGAACATAAGGCCATATAAAATTGAAATCTTGGTTCTCAGGCCCGCGCTCATCCGTTTTGAGGTAGCCGCATTGCCGATTTTATTGTATTTTTGATAAAATAAAAAGTTGGTGTTGCGGAGACCAATCCGGGAAAAAAAATTCCGACCTCATTTGTTTCGTAGTTTAGTATTCAAATATCACTTCCGGTAGCCATTTACAATGAGATTTTGGCTACTTCGTTTGAAAATACATTCGAGGACATTACCTACGATGTTTACACGCTGTTAAGCAATGGATAAAGCAGAAATTTTGACCAGAAATGGAAAGTATATCTGTGATTAAAAAAATTATCCTTATGTTAAAGAAAATTCGGAAATTAAAATTTAATAAAAAATACCTCCCTCATCTACTTTATTGCCAATAAAATGAAAAATAAAATGCCGCCCTCCCGCACCTGTTTTGGAGAAAATTGGCCTGAGAACCAAGGAATTAAATTTAGATAGCCTAATGGGAAACGAGTGCATGCGGGATCTAAAAAGAGAATTTATAATTTAAGCATTTAATACGAAGGAAAAGTGTTTCCCGTTTTTTGATTATTTTTCTTCGTCAGGTGAAGTTTTTTTTTTTTTTTTTTTTTTTAAATTTTAATGTTATATGTCAACAAAACATGCACATGATCAACTTTTATTTATGCACGTAAGTACAAGTACATTTGTATTCATTAGTAAAAATAACACTGAAGAAGAAATGTATTACAGACACAGATCTGTATTTTACTATTTATATGAATAGCATTGTGAAGTCTGCTCACTCCCCCCCCCCCCCCACCCCCCCACACACACACACCTTCCCCTGCAGTGAACAGTAGACAAAAAACTTGATTTGCTTGGTATAAAATTTTCTATATTTTAATTAACAATTTGTTGAATGTGTTCAACAAACAAAGGAGTCTTAGTGGGGAAGGCAACCGCGAACGTTTGTTCTATCGCCTACCTGATTTTTCAAAAGACACCTTTGAATGACTTTTCCTATAGAAATAATAGATTTTTTTTTACGAACTTTCAAAAACTATAATTATTTGGAAAAAAAAGAAAAGGTTTCTCTTTAATTCTGATAAAACGTGTATTTCCGCTCTAGAACTCGATGGGAATGTAAAATCTTAATTTAAAATGAAAACCTGCAGGCATGCTTATGAAGAATCTTAGGACTAAGACATCTCTTAAGACGAAGCTAAAATATATGAAATATCTTTCAGTAATTGCAACCCGGAACGTTTATTATGAGCATAATTTTTGGTTCCGGGCTAACTTGGCTTCGTCAAAAACTGGAAAACAAACAACTAATTAGCAAATAGATATGAAATATCGTTCAGTAATTGCAACCCGGAACGTTTATTATGAGCATAATTTTTGGTTCCGGGCTAACTTGGCTTCGTCAAAAACTGGAAAAGAAACAACTAAGTAGCTAAAATATATGAAATATCTTTCAGTAATTGCAACCCGGAACGTTTATTATGAACATAATTTTTGGTTCCGGGCTAACTTGGCTTCGTCAAAAACTGGAAAGCAAACAACTTAGTAGCTAAAATATATGAAATATCTTTCAGTAATTGCAACCCGGAACGTTTATTATGAGCATAATTTTTGGTTCCGGGCTAACTTAGCTTCGTAACAAAATGGAAAACAAACAACTAAGTAACAAAAAATATGAAATATCTATGAGTAATTACATCCCGGAACGTTTATTATGACCATGATTCTTGGTTCCGGGCTAACTTGGCTTTGTCAAACACTGGGGAAAAACAACTGAGTTGCAAATAGATATGAAATATCTTTCAGTAATTGCAACCCGGAACGTTTATTATGACCATAATTTTTGGTTCCGGGCTAACTTAGCTTCGTCAAAAACTGGAAATGAAACAACTAAGTAGCAAATAGATATGAAATATCTTTCAGTAATTGGCTTCGTCAAAAACTGGAAAACAAACAACTAAGTAGCTAAAATATATGAAATATCTTTCAGTAATTGCAACCCGGAACGTTTATTATGAGCATAATTTTTGGTTCCGGGCTAACTTGGCTTCGTCAAAAACTGTAAAACAAACAACTAATTACAGTAATTAGCAAATAGATATGAAATATCGTTCAGTAATTGCAACCCGGAACGTTTATTATGAGCATAATTTTTGGTTCCGGGCTAACTTGGCTTCGTCAAAAACTGGAAAAGAAACAACTAAGTAGCTAAAATATATGAAATATCTTTCAGTAATTGCAACCCGGAACGTTTATTATGACCATAATTTTTGGTTCCGGGCTAACTTGGCTTCGTCAAAAACTGGAAAGCAAACAACTTAGTAGCTAAAATATATGAAATATCTTTCAGTAATTGCAACCCGGAACGTTTATTATGAGCATAATTTTTGGTTCCGGGCTAACTTAGCTTCGTAACAAAATGGAAAACAAACAGCTAAGTAACAAAAAATATGAAATATCTATGAGTAATTACATCCCGGAACGTTTATTATGACCATGATTCTTGGTTCCGGGCTAACTTGGCTTTGTCAAACACTGGGGAAAAACAACTGAGTTGCAAATAGATATGAAATATCTTTCAGTAATTGCAACCCGGAACGTTTATTATGACCATAATTTTTGGTTCCGGGCTAACTTAGCTTCGTCAAAAACTGGAAATGAAACAACTAAGTAGCAAATAGATATGAAATATCTTTCAGTAATTGGCTTCGTCAAAAACTGGAAAACAAACAACTAAGTAGCTAAAATATATGAAATATCTTTCAGTAATTGCAACCCGGAACGTTTATTATGAGCATAATTTTTGGTTCCGGGCTAACTTGGCTTCGT